AGCAGCAATAGAGCTGCATCATCAGTCTCTGGGGAGAGTTCATACAGAGAGCTCCACTGCAAATAATGAATTCTGAACGGGGCATGATCAATACAGGCCTAGTAACGCTGAAAGTTACTCCTGTACTGCAGTCACTATATAAGATGCCAAGAAAACAGTATATAAGAGGTAACATGAATACATAAACACATTTTGTTTTGTGGAAGCTTTTTTTTATCAAACTTTCACTTGGTCAATTCCAGAATAAACTGCGATACTAACACTCCTTTGAAATACTTACAGTACAGATTGCAGTTACTAGTCATTCCCCTTTTATTACCTGTTTGGAAGTGTACCGTGTGGCCATTGAGAATTAAATATTGTTTTCTGAATGTACAGATTCACTTCTTTTAATTATTACTGTCTGTTTTAAGGATCTGAATCTTACTGTTGTGAACATTTTAATCACGTAGTTTACTGTCTATAACCATGGTACTGTAAAAGGAACGTAAAATGTGTTCTCAGGTCTGGATAAATGCAAGTAAAAGTATGGAGTGAATGAATGATTCGAGCAAGCAATCAATAACCACCAAGAACCTAGGGGCATACAATATTTTCATATTGTCACTATCAGGACAAAACCTTGTATCTCCATATATTGATAAGTTGCACTAACTGTGATACAAAAATACAAAGTAAGAATGATTATTATGTCACATAAACACAGCTTGTTAGCCCACTTATCTGACTGTTAACTCACTTATTCCCTTCTTTGCCACTATACACCCTGCACTTTAACTTAAGACAAATACTTTGTACAGTGTCAGGTTTACAACTATTACTGTGTGTACACCGACCACCTCCTTGTTTCTATGCTCATTGTCCATTTTATCAGCTCCACTTACTATATAGGTGCACTTTGTAGTTCTACAGTTACAGACTGTAGTCCATCTGTTTCTCTGATACTTTGTTAGCCCCCTTTTACCCTGTTCTTCAGTGGTCAGGACCCCCATGGACCCTCACAGAGCAGGTACTATTTGGGTGGTGGATCATTCTCAGCACTGCAGTAACACTGACATGGTGGTGGTGTGTTAGTGTGTGTTGTGCTGGTACGAGTGGATCAGACACAGCAGTGCTGCTGGAGTTTTAAACACCTCAGTGTCACTGCTGGACTGAGAATAGTCCACCAACCAAACATATCCAGCCAACAGCGTCCTGTGGGCAGCCTCCTGTGACCACTGATGAAGGACTAAAGGATGACCAACAAACTGTGCAGCAGCAGATGAGCTATCGTCTCTGACTTTTAGAGTGTCTAATAGAGTGGACAGTGAGTGGACACAGTGTTAAAAAACTCCAGTAGAAACAAGGTGTGTGTCTGTGTGTGAGAGAGTGTATGTGTGTGTGTATGAGTGAGTGATTATTTTATTTTTATTTTATTTTATTTACTAGATGTAAATGTCTGTCTGATACTGTGCACTGTGAGCTCCTGTAACCAAAACAAAATTCCTTGTATGTGTAAGCATTAAGTTTTTGGGTTTAAAGTTCTGGAGCTTGAATGAGGCATGAAAAAAGAGGGTTTGGACAGCTCTGTTTTAGCAGAATAAACACTAATAAACACTTTTATTCTCATAAAACAGAGCTGTCCAAACCCTCTTTTTTCATGTACTGTATCCTGACACACACACACACACACACACACACACGTATAAATCAGGAAATAAAGAAATTCTCCACATGCAGACGTTTCCTTAAAGAGTGGATCTGAAAAGGGGCTGTTAAATGAAAGCCAGATTGTTTAACTATATTGTCATTATTGTAGACAGCCAGCCAACTAATTAATGACTATGATAAGGAGATACAAGCTGCACATCTGCAACATTTGTTTATGTTATGCTATATTCATGTAAGAACACTTATAGCCCTTGGGGTTCAGAGGCCTCTGGGCACTGGCCCGGTCGTTAATCCATCCCTGGCAAAATGTAGTGTCAGTATTATGTTGATGCCTATGTTTATCGGTGTAAGCAAAAGAATAAAGAATATAGTGATGTCTTTATAATTTTGCTGTTTGATAAAATATGGCCTTACAGAAAGAAGTTTTGTTGTATGACGTGGCTGTAACACTGGTTTGACTAACCAGACACTCGAGGATATAAAATAAACTGGAAGGTCTATTAAAAGGAACATAAACCAAAGGAATAGGGTTTACACCAGACCAGGCCAAAAACCACAGCAGCAAAACAAAGCAAAAGTCAAAGTAGAGAAACAAGCAATGGTCAAAACCAAAAAGCCAAACCACAGGTAAACTGGGCCAAAGAGGTTAATCTGAAAAGCGATAACGAGAGACAAAACAAGGACATAACAGGAAACCAGCAAAACATGAGAAAGGCTTGGTCCACACTGATGGAACAGAGGCAATACCTCACAATGTGTCAGAGAAACAAACAGGAATATATACACAGCCAAGCAGATGAACATAATCAGTACTCAGGTGACTGAGATCTGCTGACTGAATGCTGATTGGCTGGTTGAGTCACATGACAAACTGAGGAGTCTTGGAATTGGTATTGGAGTTCATATTGAAGTGTGAGTCCAAGTACTGGGAAGCGTGACAGTGGCATAATGTGCATTGACATGTGGATTTATTTCTCTTGTTTTTGTAAAATGATATTTCTGCCTTAAAGCTTCAAACTTTCAGAACTGCTGTGATTGACGGCTGCAGCTACTAAACAAACACAACTCTGTTTTGGTCCTAGTTTTGGAGAGTTAGCATGAGCCAAATGACACCACAACCACAAGGTGATCAAACCAGTGTGGAAAAGTCCCGACTGAGTTACCAACACTTTCACCAAGTGAACCAATGAAAGAGCAGAAACAGAGCTCCATTATCAGTCTCTGGGGAGAGGATATATAGAAAGCTCAATTGCAAATAATGAGCACAGGGTCTAACATACATGCTTTTGTAGAAGTTGGCCTGCGTATCAGAACACTGGAGCATTCAGGACATGAAGATGTTTTAACATTAGGTCTACTGTTTGTAAAATGATGTTCCCCTAAAACAGAGGTTCTAAATTTCTTGATTCTTATAAACACAGATGACCGTCAAGTATTCAAAGTGATTACCATAAAAGGGGACACACTAGGATCACAATTACGGTGCAAATATTTTAATTATATTTACTCTGTATAGGTAAAACTACAGTTAACCAGGAATCCGAATGCACAGGCATGACAAACCACTCAACTGTTAATCAAGAAACAAAGTTTCTTTATCTGAAAACATTATTGATAAGTAGAAAAAAATGACATTCATGACATATAAAAAAACAAATTATAACATCTTAACTTCTTTTGCTCCAGGGTATATCTTGGTTTGTCCATTTGAATTCACATGACCAAATCTTAAGGCAAATTATTCAGTAACTGCATGAAATAAATGCAATTTTTTTTATTATTATTATTAATTTATATTTTGTAAAAGCTCCCCTCAAATTAACAGAAAATGTGTTTTATGATCATAAACATATTGCTATATGCTTACAATTTACTGCTGAAAGCCAAAAATCTTAGACGCTCTTTGTGTTATTTTATTAAAATAATGTTTACAGAGCAGATCACTGAAGAGACGCCATCTGTTTATAGTTTATAGCCCAGATTTGTGGAAAAATGGGTCGACTTTCAGTAGCGAAAAAATTGTGAGTTCAGCTTCTTTTATTATAAGGGTTTAAAATTACATCACCCATCTATTTGACTGGAAAGAAGACAGTTACAGCTCTATTGACAATAACGTCTTAACCAACTTAATATTACTGTGGGCTATCTTGCCAAATGCTGACAGTTCAGCCGAGAGAAACAGTGTGTTTTGCCACCACAGAAAAACACTTGACAGATCGGAACTTGGTACCTTAGCTCTCTCAAGACTGATTTCAATCAGTACTGACTGAAATGAGCTACAAAAATTTGGAAAACAAATAGACAACCAAGGGAAGGAAGGCTCTGTGGAATGACACACAGACCGTAGGGTAAAGAAGGTGGAAAGACATGCCCAATACACAAATATATGCCACCAAGAGCTAATAGGAATGATGTGGGTATTACTCAACATGGCATTAACCAAACATTTATCAAGTAGAGTACTGAGTACTGAGAAGTCAAAACTAAATTGCAATTAGTTGATTCACCTCGAAGATCCCATTTGAATGTCTGAAATCATCAACATGAAGTTACAAGAAAAGCATGAAAAGTCCAAATCATTTAAACATTCATGCAGTCTACCACATAAATTCACTGGCATAGAATACTTCAACAGCTCAAACACTAAATGTTTAGCCAAAAACATTAGAACATATTCTGCTCAGGACTGTTTCATGTGCTTGGCAACCATCTTTTTTAACATAGGTAAAGGCTAAAACTAGGACTAATACATGGAGTAAACAGTCTGTCATTCATTATAAATGTGCATATATAGTTAGAAAAGAGGAAAACCAATCAGCCCCACTAAATTTTCAACAGTCTTTAAAAACAACCCAATTATTGGCCTGTTTGTGTTTACATGTAAAGTCAACTTAAATAAAAACAGTGAATATAATACATTTAAATAAAAATTCCTTAACTCAAAATATGCTAAAAAAAAATGATCATACTATCTCAAACAAATTTTTGAGTTAGTTTGAATTTTTGAAATTATGAAATGAAATTACTCCAACTTTTTGTAGTATTTAAGTTGTGTTAACTTAATTCTTTCATAAAGATGTGCAGTTAAGTTTTACAGTGCAGGTGCGACTAAAATGTTCAGAGCCCCACTGCGTGTGGTGAAAAATAGTAGGTAATTCAGTCTGTAATGTTTTCAGAGAAGGAGGGCTGACAGAGAGGGGACAATATACAATTTAATAATGACCCTATAATTTTGTTTAATAAAATGCATTCATACTTTAACAACTCAAATGATCAGATTAATTGACTTAAATAGAAGGATATAAACACAGTTCACAAAGAAATAATTAAGAAATGTTTATTTAGAGCAGTAAAAAAATTAAAAACGCAAGAACCAATTCCACTGTAAATGATATACATATGGAGTTACTGATCATAACAGAAACTTACATGTAGTTGTCTTTTAAAATGCAACAGTGAAAACAGCATTAAACCAATAGGGAAGACGTTATGCCAAAAACAAAATAAAATTGAAAACACTAAAGAAGAAAGAAAAGGTAAGAAAAGCTGATCACAGACTCCACTGCTTCATCACTTGAGATCAAAGATGAGTCCTCAATAGCAACACAAGAACCTGCAAGAATTCACATAAATGTGTAAAAGGATTTTCAACAGACAGAAAGTAATGATTTGGGAAAGTATGAATTACAAACAAAAGAGTAAAACATACCCTGTAGTCTTACCCTGACTTAACTTCACAGTATTCCTGTAAAATCAAATTAATAATTGTATGATAAGTCAAATGAATACATTAACGCTACAGATGGATCAATGTCAGTTGAACTCTCTCTTATCTCCACTGACCTGAGGATTTCTTCTTGTAGTAGATGAATCCAGCAGCTGACAGGATGATCCCCAACACCAGCCCTGAAGCTCCGATAGCAATCTTGTTCCTCTCAGACTCAGGAAGCGTAGGATCTTAAAAACATCATAAACACGGTTTCATTGATATAATATATGTTGTAAAAACTGTGAACTGTAATATCATCAAAAACATCATTAGAAATGAGAAGAATTTTTCTCAACTTTATGATACAGCACTGCATTAAAAACAGACATGATTCTCTTGTGGAAATCACTGCATAGCCTCAGAAACACTTCTGAAAAACACTGTTTGTTGTTGCATCTACAAATGCAAGTTAAAACTCTAAAATGCAAAGACAAAATCATATATAAAACAGGATCATTTAAAGCTCATTTAAAATGGACTGAGGTGAAGTGGAAAAGTGTCCTGTGGTCCAACGAATCAACATTTGAATTTCTTTTTGGAAATCATGGACACTGTGTCCTCTGGGCTAAAGACCACTCAGCTTGTTATCAGTGCACAGTTCAAAAGCCAGTATTCATGATGGTATAGGGGGGCATTAGTGCACATGGCATGGGTGACGTGCACATCTGTGAAGGCATCATTAATGCTGAACAATATATGCATTATGGCAACATATGCTGCCATCCAGATGACGTCTTTTTCAGGGAAGGCCTTGATTATTTCAGCAAGACCATGTCAAACCACATTCTGCATGTGTTACAACAGCATTGCTCCATATTAAAAGAGTCTGGCCCACCTGCAGTCCAGATCTGTCACCACCGATAACATTTGGAGGGTTATGAAATGAAAAACATGACAAATGTGCCCCTGAGCTCTTGAGCAGCTGAAATGCTATATCAATCAAGAATGGAAAGCATTTCACTTTCTAAACTACAGCAGTGTCTCCTCAGTTCACAAACACTTACAGAGTGTTGTTAAAAGAAGAGGTGATGAAACACAGTGGTAAACAGGCCCCCGTCCCAACTTTTTTGGAACGTGTTGTTGGCATTAAATGCAAAATGGGCATATATTTTTTTAAAAAATAATAAAATTTCTCAGTTTCAACATTTGATATGTTGTCTTTGTAATATTTGTCTTTAAAAATATGGCTTACATGATTTGCACATCATTGCATTCTATTTTTATTTAGATTGTGCACAGCGTCCCAACTTTTTTGGAAATGGAGTTGTATAATTATTATTATATTATATATAATTAATATTACAATAATATAATAATCAATAATTTATTCTCACCCCAGTTATGGATGATGGGTTCCTTGGAGCTGGTGTGCTCCACCACACAGGAGATCTTCTCTCCAGATGTGGGCGTGTACTCCAGGTGGGAGTGGACCTGGTAGTACCAGTCTCCATCAGCCATCTCCTCAGTGGAAATCACATCAGTGGTCACCTTTTTACCGTCTCTCAGCCAGTACACATCGATGACTGGGGGGTAGAAGTTGTATGCACTGCACATCAGCAGGGCTGGATGACCAGCACTGGCTTGCTGTTCTGACCTGAGCTGGACCACTGGCTTCACTGCAAATAGAAAACAAAGACTTTACCTGTGAATTCATGAAATAATTTTGAAATGTTTTACATAGTGATTGAATATTGATAATGTAAACAATTTTTAAAATGTATTTTATTAAATGTTACTGCCAGGTCCCTTACATGTTTGTATAATAATTATTGTACATCTTTTCTATATCTATTGTACTATCTTTTATGGTGAGGTTGTGTTATTAGTGTCTTATTTAGTTTTTTTATTATTTAATTGGGTGTGCTTTTTCTTTTATTTATTCTATTTCCATCATTTTATTTTGTTCAGCACTTTGGTTAACATTGTCATTTTTAAATGTGCTTTTAAAATAAACTAGACCTGTCTTCACTATAACACTGGGAAATGAAGAACAAATATACTGATAAGAGGAACACCAGTTTGCAATCAGAAACTTCGAGATCCACGGATATAATCTGATATAATGTTTTCAAATGTAATGTTTTCATACCTAATCATTTTGAATATTGATACTGTCTCTGCAAGATAACACAATAAATCGGACGTAAATGTTTACAAAACTTATTTTAGCACAATGTATGCCCTGCAGAGAGCTGTTGCACAAACAAAAAATCAATGATAGTGATACTTTTGTGTATAGAAGTAGTAACCTCTCACTTAAATATATATTTTTTAATTTTTCAGTGTATCTCTTGAAAATACTAGAGATCATTTTGAAACATTACATAAATACTTTAATCTGTATAAACCAGTCAGTCAATTCAGTCACAAATCACATTACAAGTATAAGTACAAGGATATATGGTGCTCTGATGACTATGCAGAGCACTGACAATAAAAAAGGTTCTGTTGTGCAAACTGTGTTTCTGTTGTCTGATCAGAGGTGGTTGCAGTGAGTGAGCACTGCCTGTTTACAGGTTATTGAGACAAATGTAAATATTCAGTGTTATATGGGATAGGTTCTTAGTTTATATTTATCTATATAGTTCTGCTGTGGATCCTCGAGGATCGAGTTGAAGAAATGTCAGCTTAAGCAGAGATAATAAAATGAAGATATTAAAAATAATATCCTACTGCTCTTACAAGAAAAAGAAAGATACATAACTAAAATCTAATTTAGGACAGACAAATAAGGAATTAGAGAATAAGCTGGTGGATATCCCACAGCTGAAACCCAGAACAAATTAAGTAAACACAAATTACAGTACAATGAACTTATGAAAAGAAAACACAATTCTTGATACAATGACTCAAAACTGCAACAAAACTGGAAAATTCCTAAAAAAATTTTTTTAAACGCAAATAAAGAAAAAAAACAACAATCCCAGCAGGACTCAGCAGGAAAAATCAGATAGACACCTGAAGAGGTAAATAATGTTTTAAAAACATCTGTGAGGATTTATACTCATCTGGACACGGTCTGGTAGCAGAAGATATCAGACTCTTTCTTACTAACTAACAGAAGAACAAAAAAATATTCTAGACAAACCAATAAGACCAGATGAGTTTTATAATGCCCTCAACCAGTTGCCTAACAATAAAGCACCAGGGCCTGATGGATTTCCTGCTGAGTTTTATAAGCATTTTTGGACACTACTAGCCCCAATTTCATTAGAATGGTAGAAGAAGTAAGAACAAAATAGGAAATTACCCACTAAAATGCTATTACTGCTATTACTATTTCACTCCATCTAAAACCTAATAAGGACACTACTCTACCCTCAAGGTATCTAACATTATAACTCATCAACACAGATACAAAAACCATTAGCAAGACATTAGCCATTAGATTAGAATCTATTATTCCATCTCTAATACACCCTGATCAAACTGGTTTCATCAAAGGAAGACATTCAGCCAATAACATGTGTAGACTATTTAACCTGATAGAATACACTTCACTCCATAAATTAGAAACCGCTACAATAACACTGGATGCAGGGAAGGCCTCCGACAAAGTAAACTGGAAGTTTCTATTTGCCACATTGCATGCGTTTGGTTTTGGAGAATCAATTATAAAATGAATTAAAATTCTGTATACCACACCCAAGGCTATAGTCAATTCCAATGAAATAATATCACAGAATCTCTCACTGCACAGAGGTACTAGGCAAGGATGCCCACTCTTTCTCATTCTTATTGTCCATTTTTATAAAACCGTTTGTTGCCTCTATTCACCAAAATGCAAATATTATTTTAGCCTGGTTTAAATCTTTAGACTCCATTATCTCCAAATTTTACTGGAAAAGCAAACCACCAAGAATTAAACTGACCATGCTACAAAAATCTAAAATGCATGAAGGCCTCGAAGCTCCTAGTTTTCAATAATATCTCCCTGATAATCAACTGCAAGCACACCTTGGAGAGAAATAGAACAAACCCTAGCTAATGAAATCCAAATCTCAGACTTACTGTTTATTGGCCCAACACCACTCTTGTTTTACAAATCCAATTACAGCTACTATTTTGACAGCTTGGTGGACATTACACACAATCATAAATGTCTCAATAACACCAACTAAATATACACCCATATGGCTTAATCCTGACTTTCCACTCACCAAAAAAATCCCAAACTCACACAAGTGGATAGAAAAGGGTATAATCTTTCAGAATAACAATTTTATATCATTCTCACATCTAACCCAAACATATGGCATTCAAAGTAACCAGTACCTCAAATATTTAACTTAAATCAATTATGTGCTCAAAAATCAAGAAAATCGATCGAACATATGAACTTACCTCCCTAATTTCAGACTTCATTAACATCTCCTCTACAAACAAGCTCCTGTCCAAAATTAATAAGTTAACATCCAAATCAGACTCAACACTATACGTTTCATTGAGAAAATGGGTAGAAGATCTTTTAATTACTCCCAGTGCTGATTTCTGGTCACAGATCCTTAAAACATATTTAACATGACTAATAGTATTAGTCTACACCTCATACAATATAAAATTATTCACAGAATACACTACACTGGACAAAAATTATTTAAAATAAGACTCACAGACTCTGAAATCTGCTCATACTGCTCACTGCTGAATTGGAACTCGAAGAGGACCATCACTCACTGGAAAAACTTACTCATAGATTATATATCAATGGAACATCTTTCAGCCTCTGTCAAAAACAAATCCACTGAACTCAGCTCGACCTGGTCAACATTCACTAACTTTCTACAACAGAAACCTCCTAAACCCAATTAATTCAACTTGTCCTATTCAAGAACAATAACACCCTCTAACAGCTACCAATACTCAATAATAATCCAAACGCTAGACTCTCTTAGTTATCCCATGAACGCCCCACGTGCACACACACACACACACACACACACACACAAACACACATCAAAGAATGGCATTGTAAACAGTTATCTTATATGAATTTTGTATTGCCTTATGTATGAATTTTAAATGTCGAATATGTATACACACTTTTTTTTATCATGTTTGTTCATTTTTTATGTCTTCTTTCAGTATGTTTTATTCTGTTTCCATTGCTGTTGTTGCTGTAGTTGTTTATTTTTCTTTGTCTATGTCCTCCTTCTTGGAAGAACACCAGAATAGATTCATGAAATATGTATTTTTAATAACAAAGTACTATAGGTCCTCCAAAGAGGGGAGTGGTGACGGGTTTTAAAAAATTACATAAAAAAGCTGCTGGTGTTTTCAGACCTCAACATCACCGAATGTGTTTGGGATTATTTGGATCGTGATATCCCTGCATGATTATTAGTTTTTGTGATTCAATAATTTCAAGTTTTTGTAGTTCAATAATGTAACCTTTTTGTATCTTGTTTTTAGGCCTATTGTAATTTTATGTAATTTTACTGTTATTTTCTTTGCATAGTCAAAAGCATTATTTCCATTGTTGTTACAATATTTGTATAGAAATATATGGCACATGTGTGAAAATAGTTATTAATTGTATATGTCCAAATAAAGCATAGTTAATTTTTGAGATTACAGCTTTTATCATTCTTTTAAATGTTTTGTACCCTGTGCTGGCAGATTTTTTGACTGTTTTTATCATCTCCATCTCCGCTTCTAACTGCTTACCTGTTTTATCCAGAATAGCAGAGTAAAAAATTGGTAGATTGTGTTTGCAGTATCTCTCCACTTCACCTTGCATCTGCTGTACATAAGGATCATTGTTCCAGTACTCTGCGTTCTTCACTCCATACTCTCCAAATCCTATAAACTTTCCTACGGTGCTGTTGAACTGAACCCATGGGTCCTTATTAAAATAATAACTCCTAAGGTATTCCACATCTGTCAGATCTGGAGAGCTGGTAATACATTCATCTATCCAAGACAAATAATATCCATCTGGCAATGAAACAGAAAAAAGCAAGTAAATAGTTTAGTCAAAAAAATGACAACCAAACAAATATAAGTTCACTATTGAATAATCTAGTGCTTCATAAACTAGCAAAATGTAAATAAGACAATTAACTATACAGTCTGTATTCCTTTCGAATATGATTAAATATAAATATACCTGTCCTTATAGACAGAGTCAGTACAAGCAGCAGCTGCAGACTCAGCAACATTGTTTCTGTACGTCCAACAACAACTGAGAGAGTTTCAGAGAGTGACTTCCAGATCACACAGACTCTTCAGTTCACTGACCAATCAGAATCAGCTACAGCACTGCATCACAGATAACTAGGCAGAATCAAAATACATTACAGACAAGATAGGTAAAAGTATAGAATTAAGAAGTTCCTAAATTACAAGCCCAAATATTTCTGTGTTTATTTACGTGTGCACTTAGTGTCCAGTTACTGTCATACGCAAATTTCTGGCACTCCCGGTGAAGTTCCATGTTTTGTTGATTTTCTTAGTGACAGAGAACATGTCTGCACATATTAATGCACAATTACTGCTTATTTGCTCAATTTAACATATTAGGGGAAAATAAAACATAAATGTGGCCTGTGCAAACGTTATAGACATTTTGTAGCTTACATTTCTTCCAATATGTTGAACTATGAATTTTGTACTTCAATTTGCAGGAATATGCCAAATTTAAGTTTCTCTGCTCTATAGGATGTGTTAACTTATTTTCACTTTAATTTGTCATTCAATAAATATTTGTTGTATTTTAACCTTCATTGATGTTTTTTGCTATATTAATTATAATCAATAAATTCATGTAGAAAATCATTTGAACTGATTTCCTTTATAAGACAATATAAGTAGTTATCCTGTAGCCTTTAATGTCTGAGTGATATTTGTAAAAGTGGAAACATACCTATATCTGTGTCTGTTGATGTTCTTTAAATGATCATTTCAGGCAAGGGTATTATATAAAATAACTAACTAACTAACTAACTATAAAATAACTCTTACTGTTATAGAATTAATGATTATGTATAATTATAGATAATAATTAAGCAGGTGTGTCCCAGGTTAAGGCCAAAAATCACCATTGTAGAGATGCAGGATCTAAAATATTTAAAATACTGACTTATTCATACTTATTCAGATGTCACCTATAAATCAATGATGCATGTCTTTTTACCTAGCAGTATATCTCATAACACATGGCGCATATCAAGCTCTGGGATATATTAGAGGGTAAGTGACTACAAGAGGGTAGTTGGATGCAGAAGAAAATGTCAAGACTTCAGGACAAATCATTATGGGCAGATGACTGGGTCAGAACATCTCAGAAATAGCAAGGCTTGTAAGGTGCTCTCAGCCAGCAGTGGTGAGTACAACAATGAGAGACAAACCACAAACTGGATTACAGGATGTTGGGCAGCCAAGAATCATTGATGAGCAAAGGCAAAAAAGGTTATACTGTCTGGTCCAACATGACAGAAAGGCTACTTTGGCACAAGTCACAGAACAACAAGTCTTATCAGCCTCACATCTTACAGGATCTACTGTTAATGTCTTGGTGCCAGATACCACAGGACACATTCAGAGGTCTCGTAGAGTCTATGCCTCAGGGGGTTCGAACTGTTTTGGCAACACTCGAAGGATCAACAGCATATTAGACAAATGTTTATTTATATTGCACATTTCATACACAAAGGTAGTTCAATATGCTTTACATAAATAAAAGCAAAAAGAACATCAAAAGTATTAAATAATAAAGGAATAAGTATTAAAAATAAGTAATAGTAGTAGTAATATACTAACTGGTCCTGAGTGATAAGGGAGGCTTATTTGGTTTGTATACTTAAAGCAGTTTAGAATGGTCCAAGGCCATTCAGAGATTTATTTACAATTAGAACCACTTCAAAGTCAATTCTGTACTTTGCTAGCCAGTGCAGTGATCGAGGATTGGAGTGATGTGCTCAGATCTCTTAGTTTTCATAAGCATTCTAGCAGCTGCATTTTAAATAAGCTGTAGACCAGTAAAAAGACTGCAGTAATCCAACATGCTGGAGATAAATGCATGAATTAGTTTTTTAGGTCTTGTTTCAACATGTAGTTTTTAAAATCTGGATATATTCTTGTGACGGTAAAAGACTTAATTTGTTATTGCTTTTACATGGCTGCTGAAATTCATGGTTGCTAAAACTCAGATCTGAATTAATTGTTATGCCAAGATTTCTGACTTGATCTTTAGTCCTCAGAGCTCTGGCTCATCTTGATGCCAGGGCTCTGAGGACTAAAGATCAAGTATAACCATTACCTCTGTCTTTTCTTTATTTAGTTGGAGAAAGCTTTCTTTCATCCAGTCATTTATTGATTTTAGGCAATGTGTAAGGTTTTGTCAAAAACCAGATGCTCGCAGATTAAAAGGACAAAAGGTGTTTTAATAGGGCTAGGCAGATGCGGGGTCAAAAGGCAGGTGTGGGTCAAAACCAAAAGACAAACCAGAAACAAAGCGGTGATCATATCACCGAGCAGACAAAGTCCAAAAAGGGGCAAGGCAAAAACGAAGTCAAAAACAGGCAAAGGTCCAAAAACACTGATCAGCAAAGACAGGCAACAGTACAAAAGGGCAAAGGCAAAGTTTGATTACAAAATTCTTTGATTACAAAATTCTTTTATTGACGTATAAAGCCCTACGTGGGCTCGCTCCTGAGTACCTGCAAGACCTTATTTCCCATTACGAGCCACCACGATTACTCAGATCACAGAGTGCTGGCTTTGTAATAGTTCCCAGAATTCAGAAGGTTTCATCTGGGGGAAGAGCCTTTTCTTATAAAGCCCCCAAACTCTGGAATGATCTTCCAGAAAATGTTCGGGACTCAGACTCAGTCGCAATATTCAAATCTAGGCTGAAAACTCACTTGTTTAGTTTAGCTTTTGGTAGCTAATGTTTCCCCTTGGATAAAGGCAGCAGATCCAGGGGTCCATGGACGCAGGGAATTATAGTAAACTGAGACTGGTGCTGTCGTCCTGCCGCTCACACGCGAACACTCAGGTTTGTGGACGGTGAAGCGGAGGGATGCCAGATTGTCTCAGGGTGCTCCCGTGTCTGTGTGCCCTTTTGGTTCTCTCCTTTTATTTAAGCTGTTATAGTCAGATCTGCCGGAGTCGTTAGCCACACTCTGGAAATGATTTACATACTACTATACATACACCCATACAGAACTAAACTAACTCCATTTCCCTACCTTTCTTCCAAGAAAACGACTGCCCACCTGTCCGGCCGGACACTGCTGGATGATTGTTTGTAGAGCTCTCCGGCTACCCGCTTCAGACCAGTTACCCACAACCCAGTCACCGCCACCTGCCTTGGACTGGCTGCCCACTCTACGCTGAAGTCTCCTAACTATTACTACCTCCTAACTATTACTACTACTACTATTAATATTAGTAGAATAATAATTTTGTAGGTAGTTTGACCAGAGGAGGATGGGTCCCCCCATGTGAGCCTTGGTTCCTCCCAAGGTTTCTTCCTCAGCTCTGAGGGAGTTTTTCCTTGCCACTGTCGCCCCTGGCTTGCTCACCTGGAGGATTTACATTTCATGTTGAAACTTTGTTCTAAACGGATTTCTGTGAAGCTGCTTTGTGACAACATCAGTTGTAAAAAGCGCTATACAAATAAATTTGACTTGATTTGATTTGAAAGTCAAAAACCGAAATAATGGTCAAACAACGTACAGCAAATAACACTTGGAAAAACGCTCAGTATGTTCGTGGAGAAGCAATACCTCGCAAAGAACTAAACTAAAGCCCAGGCTTAAAAGCTAATCTGACCAAGTCATATGATTCAAAACACAGGTGCAAACTTTTAGTATTCAGGTGAGCGCGACCTCTGATAGGAGCGCGTGATCTCCTCAGAGGTCATGTGATTCCCCATAGTATTGTGGGTAATGCAGTCTGTTGAGTTTTCCAAGTCGGAGGGAAATTGCGTCGTCACGTGATCCTCCTGAGGGTTCTAGGCAATGAAGTCCAAGTTATCTTGTGACACGGGTCGATGTGTGACACAATGACAAAGTGTCAGTAGGACTGTAGTCATCAGGCGAGAGACCTAAATAGATCTGGCCATTGTCCACATAGCTATGGTAAGATATTTTATTATTAAAGGATTGTTAATAAGGATTTGGCCCAGAGGTAGCTTATGAAGACTGAACAGTATGGGCCCAAGAATGGATGCTTGTGGGACACCACAGGTCAAAATTTCCCATTTACATTAGTGGTTGTTGATGGCAATAAAGTAGCTCCTGTCTTCCAGATATGATTGGAACCAGCTAAGAACCGTTCTAAAAAGCTCTACCCAGTTCTTTAGTCTGTCTAAAAGAATGTTATGATTGACAGTATCAAATGCATGTGAAGATCAAAAAGCATAAGCACAGACATTTTGTCAGCGCCTGTGTTCATACGAATGTAATGCCTTTTTTAAGGGCAGTCTCTGTGATGTGCTGCGCTGTGAAATAAACAGAAACCTGACTGGAAGTCGTCATAACAACAGTATTTAGTATTTTCAGAGTTTGCTATGCTGATTGTAGACAACTTTCTCAGTCATTTTATCTAAGAACAGAAGATGAGAATTAGATCTATAATTATTAAGGACAGCGACAACTAAATTGTTCTTTTTTAAAAGAGGCTTAATTACAACAGTTATCAGCAGCCCAGGGAAGATGCCTGAAAGGGGAATTCCATTCACTATTTGCAATTAATCCACCGCTAGGCAGCTAAAAATGTCTTTTAAAAAGTAAGTGGGCAAAACATCAAGAACACATGTGGATGATTTTAGATGCTGAAATATTTCCTTTTCAGGCCAATAGATGTGAATTTGGACATATTATGCCTTGTTATTTTGAGGTAGTACATGCTAAGGAGCTCTATTTTTCAAAGGAGAAGTGGTGATAGCCTGTCTTACAAGTAGAAGTTTATTAAAAAATTAAAAAAAAATTTAATTTCATTGCATTTCTCCATAGTTCCGGGTCTACCTGTGCTGGTGGGTGTGTTAGTCTTTCAATGATTGTAAATAGGGTGTAAATTGTGCGAGAGATAATGCGATTGGTCTGAAGCATCTTCCTATATATTCCTATATTCCTGTGTGTGCGTGTGAGTGAGTGAATCATTCAATATAAATTTGCCAGGTCACACTATTATTACATACCTGTATGTGTATCATATGTCCAGTATTAAT